AATGAGATGGTTGACTCAGCTGAAAGCTTGAGCAGCTCATCCCAAATCAGGATGTTGTTGGTGTGCAAATCACAGGAGCCACTATGTGTGAGAGTCTCTGCAAAGGCACTTTACCTGCATCATCACTGATCCCCAGAAAGAGCTCAGGACTCAGGACCCATCCTACAGCTGAGAGGACAGAAGAGAGGCCCAGAGATGATGCTCATGTAGTGGGTGGCAAACACCAGATTTTAAGCTAGTCCTACCTGGACCAGTCTGACCTGCTGAATGAGCACTTAGCCACCCTGCCCTCCATGGAGAGTCCTTTGGCTCCATCCCAATGCAGGAAAAAGTTGCTTGGCTTCTGTGAAGGGAAGGCAAGCATGGCTTTGTTTGTCTGAAGTTAGCTCTGGCTTTTGGGATCTGTGTAGTTTCCACAAAAGGTTCAGTGGTCAGAAGAGAGGAGCTTATGAGCTGGAAAACTTCATTCTAGCAATTGTGGGTCAGATAGCCCTGTGCATTCCTTCTCATCATTTCAAACCAAGGATCGTATGACGGTAAGATCCACAACAAAATGCAAAAGCAGGTCTCATGTATTGATGTGCAGCATTTGCCTCCATCTAGAGGACACTGATCCCTTTCTCCTGCTCCCCTGGCCTAGACAGCCAGATCTGGAAAAGCGGAGAGAGCACTCACCTGTCCCAGGCCCGATGCTGAGACCTGTGTATGTAAAGTAGCACATAAGCACTCTACTTGGCCTACTCAGGCATCTCATCCCCGCCCTCCCACCCTGGGTGCTACGGTCTAGGTGTGTGTGTCCCCTCCAAATTCATAAGATGAAATCCTAACCTCCTACAATGATGTTGTTAGGAGGTGGGGCCTTTGAGAGGTGATTAGGACACAAATGAGATTAGTGCTATTACTAATGAGGCCCCAGAAAGCTGCCATGTTCCTTTCTCCACGAGGACACCAGGAGCAGACACCATCAATGAGCCAGGGGGTGGGAACTCTACCACCTTGGTCTTGGGCTCCAGAACTAGAAGAAACACATTTCCACTACTGATAAACCACCTAGTCTATAGCATTTTGTTATCATCATGGAGCAAATATACCATGTAAGCAAATCACCCAACTTGTCTACTTCATTTCCCTCATCAGCACCTGTGTAACAGTGATGGCAGCACCTAATGAGATGACACAGGGCGAGTTCTGGCAGAGTCAGCACTCAGTAATGCCCAGCTACCGTTAGGATGACTCACTGGATTCTCACAAACAGCAAAGAGATGGGTTGTCACTAACAAAGAAATGAAGCAATGAGACTCAAAGGAGTAAAAAGACTATGTTCAAATATTTCTCTCAAGTAGTGGCAGAAGTAGGATCTTGAGTGGATCTTGAGATATGCGATATCTGCCCCTTTGCCTTGTCTTGACCACCTCCCTTTCTACCAGCATCAGGGAATGAACGTGACTCCAATGCCTGTGCATCTTGTGGCTCTGGGTGTGCCCTGCCAGGGGCATGTGTCCACTTCACAGCACCAAGGACCCTATCTGCCATGCATTTCCCACACTCCTTTCATCTTCTGGCTACCATTTTGATTTCTGATTTTTTTTTTCTGGTACCGGGGATCCAACTCAGGACCTCGCATTTGCAAGGCAGGCGTGGCACCACTGAGGTAAATGCCCAGCCCCCATTTTGATTTCTACCTCAGAGAAGCCCAAAACATCATGACATCTTAAACACTAGTGTCAGGGGAGTGGGGTTCAGGGCTTGCCTGACTCAGCTCTTAAGGGCAGTGGTTTAGAGAAATAAAGATAATTTTAAGAATATTTTGGAAGCTATGAACCCCATTCCTGGAAAAATGCATTCATCCATGTGGCAAACAGTTTTAGAATGTTCTTGGCACCTCTGGGATCTATCTAGGCACTTCAGGGGAGGAATTCCTGCTCTGAAAGAGAATATTAAAGTTCTGGAGAGAAGCAGTGAGCCCCAGAGCTCCCCATGGTCTGATACACAGCTTACCTTCTGAAGAAGGTGGGCTGCTCCTCCTCTGGGAAGCAAAGATGCCCTTAGAAGAGCCACCCATCTTCTGAGTTAAACTTGCAGAGCCTGACCTGCCTGGCTGAGGGGCCTTCAGAGGAGCCAGCACCAGGCCCAACTCAGCCCCATGGTTAGCAATGGACCCTTTTAGCCCATACAAGACACAGTTCCTGCAAGTGCATAAGGAGTTACAAAGCCACACACCCTGAGACTACTAGAGAGAGTAGAGACTGAGAAACCTGTCCATGCTGGTGACACTGTGTCTGGGGACAGAGAAGCCTGGCTGAGGCACAGTGCAAGGAGCCAGCTCCAACCACAGTAGCAATCACCATGGAGCCAAACAGATGAGAAAATGTGAATACCAGCATCACCTCTTACTCACTGGGGCATCCTAACTTTTTGAGTTTCAGTTTCCCTATTGATAACTTTAAATAATAATTTCTACCCAGCAAGGCTGAGGTGAGATAAGAATATGTAAAGGCAATAGTATAGCCCCTGGATTATGATACCTAATCAATACATAGTCATTGATATGGATCTGATCATGGAATTTCTTATTTGGAAACAGTTAGGGTGCCTTGGAGAATTGTGGGACTTTTTTGCAATGGGGGGGGGGGCTCTGATTGAAAATCAAGATTTCAGAGGAAGGAATGAGGGTCAGAAGTGGTAGCCATGCACACCAGGAGCCTGCCAGGGGTGAGGACACTTAGCAGGGGGTGAGCCTCCTTCCTTGGTGGCTGATTGCAGAACAGTGCATGGCTGATTGCTGCATTGGAACTGTGCACGGGGCAGGAAAGCCTGAGACAGCTTCCTCCCTTCCCTGGACCCTGTGTGACAAGCAGAGCTCCACCTGTCTGCAGCCCTTACGTATAGCATTACTGTGTGCTTATGAACTACACTGTGTCAATTGTAGGGTGAATGTGTCTGCAGAGACTTTGATGTTTGCCTATGAGTGCATGCGTGAATAATTGTGTGTGTGTGTCTCTGTGTGATCATTTTGAGTGTCAGTCTGTGTGTTAGCAAATATTTTGTTTTCCTTTGAGCTCCAACAGCTGGTTGCCCCTGGCAACTATGCTAGGATCTTCCAGCAATTGATCTCTCCTTGAATGACATTTGGTTGCTCACTCTAAGTGTTCAAGGCCTGTCTGGTTCCCCCTCTTTCAGGTCCTGGCCATCATCATTGCAAATTTCTGTATCTAGGGTTTTTCTTGCTGCTGAGAAGTTTCCTATCTTTCTGGATCTCAGTGTTCAATGTCAAGTTCAGAGGAGAGAGAATGAAAGCTTCAGGGGCCAGGGTGATAAGAGTATTGACAATCATCCCTTCCTCTTTGTAGGCAGTGACTATTAGCTCACCTAATTTATCTTCAGTATGTACATTCCTCTTATAAATAATCTAACTAAAATACCACCGAGAGGACAAAATAAGATAATTTAAAAAATTATTGGCATAAGAAAGAGCTATTTATCTAGTTTCTTGGTATGAAGGGTGAGGATAAGAATCAAACATAATTTCATTTTTTAAAAACAGCTAATGGCATGAAATAAAAGAATGTTTTAGACGTAAAAAAAAGTAGTTACATTAGGAACAGAAATGCTTCCTCTTATTGCAACTAAATCAAGGAAAGGTCAATTAAAATTTTTTGAGCTTTTTATCTAATCTTGAGTCACCAAAGCTAGCAGCACAATACAAAGCTTTAAGACATAGATGCTAATTCCCAAGTTTGTACTTACAGGAATGAAAGTTTACTTGAAACAAAGGCAAGAGCCCATGATTAAGCAACCCCTGTTGGAAGATGAAGATCACACAGAGACCCATGTTATCTATTAAGCACTGTCCTTCTCCGCTATTAAATGAAATATTTAATAATATTTAACTATAAGGTAAATTATTACATTTAATAATATTGTAAAATATGTAATACTATTTCTGTGTTATTAAAAGAAATGATTTTTAAAGGAAATGGTATAAGGCATAGGAACTAAATATTTGTCACCATGGGTGTTAGACCTAGTAGTCTTTTCTTCTTTTGTGCACCCTTATTCTTCTTTCAGAGCTTGAAAAAAATATTAGATTTTCAATCTAATTGAAAGATTTGTAAGATTGAAAATGTAAGAACTGGGCAGCTTTTCCTTTAAAAAAGAAAAGAAAGAAAAAGTCATTCTGGGAGTTCCTGCAGCTGGCCCTGCCCAGCCATCTTTCTGTCCAGAAAATCTGGGAAGGTCTTATGCCCTATTCTCCCACCTCCAGTCTGAGGATCTTCCTCCAAACATTGGAGAAGCCCATCATTGCAGAGATGGAAGAACAAAAGCCAGGAATTCTGGATTCCTAGAAGTTGAGATCTCCATCATGAAAACCAACTCCTTTAGTCAGCCTGGTTTTCCCATGAAGGTCCAGAAGTCCCAGGGGACCTTTGGGATACCATTGGTGAGAGTGGGGAACACACACCTCTGAAAGTGTGGAGGAGATTACTCTAGGCCTGTGAGGTTGGGGAGAAAGGTACCATAGACTGTGTAAAGGCCAAACGTTGAGAAGTCAAACTGGGGTTCCTCTGAGAATGGCAATCCCTTAGCTCTGTGACCTAAGTGAAGGAAGCAAAGTATCTCCAGACACAGTGAGGGTAGAGATGAGAGACACAAGAGTCTGCTGAAGTCAGCCTAGGAAGAAAGGTTCTTCATTATGTGTGATGGATTACAGCTCAGGTCTCCCTACCAATCTTCTGAGAACACCAAATTTTAAAGGCACTTGTCAGGTTAACCAGAATTAAAATTGCTGCCTGGTCTGTCCCTCACACTGTCCTCTGGTTGGTGTCAGTGGATCCTGGATATGTCCCCATCCCCAGGCATGTCTGAGACTTACCTGGGGAGAGGAATTTCCCTCAAAGTGTGCATGCCAATGGGACAAAATCCAGTTCACACCTGGGAACTAGCAGAGAGCATTTCCTCATCGCAGAGAATAAGAGCGTCGGGAGAAGACAAGTTTTATTATTAAACAACTTTAATCCAAATGCTGATTATTATTTGCAGTGTCTGAAGGCACAAAAAATACCTAAAATGTATGGAATAGTCTAAACAGAGTTATAAATCCAAAGAGCAAAGCACGAAAAAAAGATACATTCTATGAGCTGACACAGAAATCTGAGTTGGGAAGATTCTTCTGGTTTTGTTGTTGTTTTCCCTCTAGAAAACTTGCTTGAATATCAATCATTTCCCCTCATGCCAAGGGTAGGAACTTAAAAAATAACATAAATATGGTGAAGAATAACATCATGGGATGTTATGGGGTTTTTTAGAAGCAGTATACTTTCCCCTCGGAGATTCTCTCTCTCTCTCTCTCTCTCTCTCTCTCTCTCTCTCTCTCTCTCTCTCTCTCTCTCTCTCCCCCCCTCCCCCCTCCACAGACACACACACACTCCATCTCTTTCCCTCCCTGACACTCATTATAAGCAAAGCCATCTAAGCAGACATCAATATAACCATACCCATGCTCTACCTCAGAACACAGGGCATCTCTGGGGAAAAAAACCCCAACTCAGGTATGAGATAAGGCAGAGAGACCACAGATATAAAAAATCGACCTTCTAGGGCTGTTCCCCAAAGTGCTGATGGAATGAAAGCAAAGCCTGTTCTTTCTTGGGGTGATGGCAGCAGCCCACATAGGCTCTGCCATGCACCCCAGCTCCAAGCTCCACACACTCTGATCAGTGGACCATCTCTGCACTAACATCAGGCCACTCTCAGAGTCCAAAGAAAAATAACATTATTATAAACATACTCTTTCCCAGGGTGCTTTAGCTGAATGTGTGATGCTGCCATTCCTTAAAGCTCTGTCATGACATTAGGGGCTGTAGGAAAGAAATCAATCCTGGGCTAATTATCACCCTCATAAATACATCTCTGGAGAACTCTACAAGGCCAAAGAAGAGGCAACAGATAGGACTTTGTATTTCTCTATGACCACAGGCCCAGGACCTGGGGGCTCTGTTCTCCACCCTGACAAGTTAGGAGATGAGAATCACCTTTGTTTTCAGAAGGAGAGATACTGAAGTGTTACAGCTCAGATTCTTCCAAATACTCTGCTCCTGATGATTCTTTCTCTGGTTCTACAGTTCAGTTGCCCCAGAAAGGGCAATAGAGGGAGGTGAGGCCTTCAGTTTGTTTTAGTCTTAGGAAACGGGGTTTCCAAGCAAGCTCATTGCCCCGAAGGGCCTCGGAGGATCTAAGGTCCTTTCAGCCTGGAGATACACTGTCATGACCAGATCACTGCTTGAAGATTCCTAGTCTGGAGAAGGTAGTGAAACCAGAAGTGGGGACTAGTGTCAGGGTCTGTCTTTGGGTGACTTCCTCAAGGGCCTGAGAACCAAAGGCACACTTTGATTTTAGGCTAAGAGCAACTTCTTTAGGAGATGGAAGGTTTTTGTCTTTGATTCACTTGGGTTTCACTCCTAAGAGTCAAGTCTCCTTTCTTCCTGGTCCCTCTCTTCTGTTTCCCAGACTTTTCATCACCTGGGAGGCATCACCTCCAACTCCTTCCAACAGGATCCTTTCCTCCCTGCACTGTGACCAGTTTCCTCTCTCATTTGGGCCAGGAGCCCAAATCTAAGCATGTAGCTTTTCTTCACCTGGCCTCTTGTCCCCACTGCCTCATCTGATCAATACTACTGACCACACTTCACATCTCCCTATCCCGAGGACCATCTACCAGGCCAATCCCATCTCTGCCCAGCCTCTGAGACACAATGATGGGGCCTGCCCTTCTTTCCCAGTCTATCAATGGCCATCTCTTCTAAGCAGGAAAAGAAAGTAAAAAACAAGATGATTCTGGAACACATTGGTGTCAAAGCCCTCAGAGCCTGTTACCTCAATACGGGCGGCTTCTCTGGGATTCAGAGGGCAGTGCACACTGACACACATGGGAGTCACCATCTTGAGCTGGACTGTCTGGAACTGCTCTATGTCCAGAGCAATTCCTCAGAGCAAGGCCAACCGGAAGAGTGGGTCACCCTCCAGCACAGTGACCCAATGGGCCAGGCTAGGGCTGGCTCCAGATTCACTCTTTACCTACCCAAGGAGACTCAAGGAGGAATGAGGGGCCAGGAGCAAAGGATGGAGGGGAAAGCTGGCAGTCCTGGCAGCCAGCAGCATTGGGGGCTCATCTTCCTTCTCCCCAGCAGGAAGGGACTCCTTAGCTGATGGCCCTTCCTGCCCTCAGAAAGGCCCAGGAACATGGGGCTCCTTTGGCACTTCAGAATGATCACAAGTAATTTGCCTTTTTATTCATATAGAACAAAATTTACAAAGTCATTCATACAGTTTTTGTGGGTTTTTTTACTGACTTCGAAAATTGGGAATATTCAAAATACACTTTTACCCCACTCCATTCTGTCATTATTTACACATATGTACAAGAAAAATGAAAGAGTCTGTGTGTGTGTGTGTGTGTGTGTGTGTGTGTGTGCGCGCGCACATGTGTGTGGTCTGTGTTGTCATTTTCTCGTATTAAAAAGCTCTGCTGGTCGGGTGGGTGGGTGGGTGGCGGGCAGGCGGTTCGGTCAGATGGAGGTGCCATGGGAGGTGTCCAGAGCCTCTGGGAGGACGCCTCCAGGCACAGGCTGGAAGGACATGGGGATGGGGGTCTTTACTGGGCTCTGCCGGAATAGCCCCCCATTGGGCGACCTGTGTTTGCACTGGATGGAGGGCATGGTGGCCGAGCTGCTCAGCGGCAGTGGCAGGTTGCTGCTGGGCCCTGCAGAGAGTGTCCGGCTGGCACCGTGGCTGCTTTGCTCTGGCAGAAAGGTGCTGACTGAGAGCTGGGTGTTCTGGTACTCTCTTGTGGGCTCCAGGGCCTGGCTGGGTGCCAGGCCTCCCATCTCCAGGGCAGAGAGCTCGATGGATGCAGGTGAGATCTGCTTGTGAGCAATGTCTTCATCCATGAGGCTGTTCATGCGCCGATGTACCTGCTCCAGATTCACCTCTTTGTCCTGGAAGGGAAGATGGGGAGGTCAGGGGGGACCCTCAGGGGCCAAGGCTGAATGACAGCAAATGCAAGGGACTTGGAGGCACCAGGGCTGCTCAGCCTGCTGCACCATATTCACCCACCATGGCTTCCACTGCCCACCATGAATGGCCTGGCTGCTATCTGGGGAGACTGCAGGCTAGAACATGCAGCAAAGACTTTGGTGACATTGTTCCTGGCCTTTTCACTTGGCTTACAATCACTGTGACAGGCAGAGGAAACCCTTATGATGAGATGGTTTGAAGAACTAGCAAAGACAGGAGATAAATGGAGCCCCATGGGAATAGAGGCAATGGCCCCTGGGCACCTAGCATGCCCCCTGCACTTGCCCTTTAGAGCTCAGAACACTCAAAGTCTTGATGTGATCATCTCCTCCTTGTACAAAAGGAGATTTGACCTCACCAGAGTCCACCAGCCCTGTGGGTGCCAGAGGCAGTCTTGAACCCCAGAGTGAAACAGATATCTGGTCTTACCAGGTGACCTGTGCTCTCCCCACCCACATCTCCAGGGAGGCTGGGTGCTGGGCACCTCCCTACCTGGAAGGCTAATGGGCTATGGGTTTCTGGGTGGTGATGGTGAGGAAAGGTACTTTCCCGGGGTTGGTAGACTCTCCTGGTATATCATGAGGGTTTGAGGCTGCCCGGATGGGTGATCCTCACCTGGATACTGCCACACCATGGTAAGTAGCACCACAGAAGATTGATTTGTTTATTCGCTTCAGAAAAAAAAATAAACAGAACCATATCATCTTTTTCAAATTGCTTGGTTTTCTTTCAATGTCAAAATGAATCAAGGTGGTCACATTGCTTGAAAGGTCAAGGAAGAGGTCATCTATTCATCTACAAAGCTGGCATGAGACTGAGCAGCTGCTCATGAGAAGAGCCACCCCAGCTCCCAGCTTCTAATCTGGAAGCTGCAGTCCTATTTGTAGCAACATGGGTATCAGTGAGCCAGGCAAGATGATGAATGCTGCCCTTCTCACATGAAATTCCAACAGAAATGCAATGTTAAAGTTCATTTTCAAGATAACCATGTGGGTTTTCTAATACTGATAGCATATATTAAAGAGAAGAACCCAAACCTTGTCCACCTCGTAGGAGTTCTGGACATGACAAGACACTTAGAATCCTTGAAAAAAGGAATCATGTAGAATAAGGTTGTTCCCATTACTGCATTGAGCACATCTGGGGCTGGGACATCAGGAGTCCCCTGAGGAAGAGGCACCCTGAATAACTGGCATGCATTATTCATCTGAATAATCCAACCCAGGGCTAGCTCCCAGGGGGATTCAACTCAGCATGTCTCAAGTGGCAAGGAACTGCTGTCCCCTATAATTCCCTCCATGCCCCAACATTCTCAGCATGGAGAAAGAGGGATCACTGCTCTATAGCATTCTGAGCCCAAAGCCAGCAGTAGCTGGTGCTTGACTTCTGGTGGGACACTTGGTGTCATTCTCAAAAATTCTCCCAGAGCAGGAAAGCTGATGACATCTATAAAACAACAGAGAACTCATCTCAGGCCGGGAAGAAATTAGATAATGAGAACATCTATTGAGGGAGAGGGTCAATACATTTAGCTTGGTGTGAGGGATGCTGAGAAGAAGCCAGGGACCAAATATGGTACCCAAGGTCATGCTCCATGACCCACACCCATACATACCCAGAAATGTGCTTCACTAATTGCCTGGGTGGCCCTGAAGCCATTCAAATTGATGATCCAGCTTGCTACAGTATCCCCTGGGATAAGCAGATGTGATTCCCTCAGCTCTCTGCTCCTGGGTCCTCCTAGCTCTTGGGTCCTTGGTCACTGAACAAGCTCCAGTTCTGCTTCTCACCAAGCCTGCACCTTCAGCCTCCTTGTAGCTACTATGAGCTTCTGTGAAGCTTCTGATATAGGACGCGGCTCCTGCATCTGCATTAGCCACAGTCAGTGCCATAACTGTTTTGGTAAATATTTGTATCCATAAGCTGTTTTCATCTCAAAAGGTACAAAGGGCTTAAAGGACTGGTACTAGAGAGTATGGAAGCAGAAGACAATGAAAGAATTTCAAATAATGTCAGGGTTTAAGCAGACAACTTTGCTTTATCTGCAGCCAACAAAGGTTGAGAAGGATGGACAGACAGGATGTCCTCAGTGTAGACTTCTGTTTTTGCAGAGGGAAAACTGGTGACCAGGCAGTCCTGGGGATCATTGGAGGAACTGGTTAATTGCATAATCTTGCCTCTTCCTCCTTTCTGTTCTCATTTCTGGACTTTAAGGAGCCCTTTGGGGATGAAGGCAATAAAGTTTAAGAGCGGGCTAATTAGCAACCAAGAACAAGTGTCTTGGTTCCAGCTGTTTTCACTCTGGATTTGGGCAGTAAGAAGGGAGAGCCTGGCCCTTTTGCTAGGAGTCAATTAAGTGCCAGGCCAGGGCAGGTTGTTTGGGAGGAGTTTTTTGTTTTGCTAAGGTTTGAAGAGAGAGAAAGAAAATTTCCTGTCCCAGAAGGCCAAAGAAAGGCAGGGAGTTGAGAGTAGGGCCAAAGAGGAAGGAACTCTCTCTACCTAGTGCCAGCAAAACAAACAGAGGGAGCTCTTTTGTCAGGGAGAAAGACAGACCAACATCCTCTGAAGAAAAACTGTGAGTAGGGAGGTCTCTCAGGGATAGAGGCCTTTACCACTGAAGCACAGGGAGAGGAAAAGGAAGGGTGCAGGACTGGGAAAGTGCCAGGGCACAGAGCACATCTGGGAGTTGATCGGGTAACAGCAAAGCATTTGGAAAAAAGACCAACTCAGGGAGTGGGTACAGAGGTGGTCAACTACCTTCAAGTCAAGATTCCTCAAGCAAAGTGCTTAAATAGTTTCTTCAACCCACATATCCATCCTTTACCTCAAATTAAGGAGGGATGCACCAGTCCCCAGGACTGCAAAGCTGTGCAGTGTGAATCAGCTCCCAATTATGGTTATTCATTAGCCTTTAAACATCTCCACATCAGGACACTCAGCAAATGTCCACACCAATTAAACAGAATTTCCAGGGAGAGTTTCTAAAGCCAAATGGCTGTCAAGAAGCCAACCTCCCCGCACCAGCGGGACCTCACTCTATTCAGATCCCATTATCCCAACAGTGCCAATATCCAGGCTGTCAGGGTCTCTTGTATCGGGAGTTTCAATGGATATGAAAATGGGTTGAACTAAAGGCAGATACTTCCCTGATCCCCTGGATAGCAAACATAGCCTCTTTGTCTCTGGGTCATTTAAGCTGCCTGCCAGGCCAGGGATGAGAAGCAGAGAGCAGAAGCCCACCTCACCTCACTTGGGTCTTGAGAGCTTTGTGTTCCTGCATCACCTGGGGATGCAGACTTAGCACACACAAGGTCATTACATGTCTGACTGCACCTTCTGGATCTCTGGCCAAGGAAAGGGAAGGCAGGCATCATCAGCTCACTCAAGGAAAGAAGCAGGAGTGATTGAATAAATATATACCTTTTCGACAAAATGGTGCATTCTATAATGTTATGCAAATTCAAATATTGGGTGTTTTTATGTGAACTACATTTGTTTACATCCTCATTCTCCCAAGGTTTCGGTGTTCAGCCAGGTAATAACAGCTGTGGAAAGAGACCTGGAAACTTATCTCTGCCTTCATTAATTTACCATAGGTAACTGACCTACTCAAACATCCCTGCATATGACATAAAATTCATTGACTGCATTTACCTATGAATCGGCTAGATTCCAGCTCCACATTTCTCACCCCATATTAAACATGACAGCAGATGCACCAACAGAGGTTACTGGGGAACCTCTCTCAGGCGTTGTCTTACAGAGAGATAAAGTTTCTGTAATTAAGCCGCTGTTCACCAATGTGGAAATAATCCAGTGTATTGGAAAACGGTAATTAACTAAACTATCATCTATGTAACAGCCTGTTACACAGGGGACTCATTAGAACTGGCTTTGTTTGGAGTCCAACAGCTCCTATTTTAAGTTGGGCAGGAACAAAACTAGGGATGAGGGACTTGCCACCTGACTGGGGTGGTTGTTGGCAACATTCTCCAGTAACCACTGAGACCAACCAGGTGGAAAATGAGACCCAGTGGCTGGGAGAAAGGCCACCAATGTGATCTCCTTAAGCACTGCTCTCAAGACTTACGCTGGGCTGGGGGTCTGCAAGTCATGGTTGGGTAAGAGCAAAGGGGCTGAATGTTAAGTCAACAACGTGATCTCAGGAGATGATGGGCAGTTTTACAAAATGTCATGCACAAGAGTTTTGATCAGTTCATTTGCAGATTTGCAGGGCAGGGCCATGAGAGGGAGTCAACAACCACTTCAAATCACAGGTAGGAGCAGCAAGGCTACAGAGGAGAAAACTGAGGCTAGGAGTGAAGTGATTTGTCCATGTTTACACAATTCCATGGTAAGTGGAGATTAGGTAGAGTACCACCCAGCTCCAAAAAGGGACTCTTCCACTCTGGCAGGCTGGATGCCCCCAATCCCACTTTGGAAGGTTAGTATGACCTAGGCAGAAAGTTTTCATCTTAGGCAGGATATTGAAGCACATGTGGAGATGTTAGAAATTAGGATTGTCTAAATATCCGTAATATGAGCCTTTGGAAAGTAGGGCTCAGGTATCTGTATTTCTAAAAAGCTTCAGAATTAATCACCTCTGATATGCAGCCAGAACTGCAATCCATTGATTCAGCTTCAATGATTACACAACAATTTAACATGAATAACACTTTCTTTATAGGTGCCCAGACTGGATCATTCATTCAATAAATACTTTTGAGCTCCTACTACCAGATGAGCTAACGCCCTTGGTAAAGCATTCATCTTTGATTCCTGGCACATAGAAGATGCTCGATACTTCAGTAATATCCATCATCCCTTAACAAGAGCTTCCATGTTCAGGAGAGTGGGCAAAGGGATGAGAATGCTGAGCTGAGGAGGTCCTGGCAAAGTGGAAGCAGACACAGGCAGGTAAATAATCACTGGCTACGAAGAATCACATCCAACAAGGGAGATGGCTAGAACTCAGAAGCAGGGTAGGCTTTGCCCATGAGCTGGTTTTGAGATACAGCATGGCGTGTAATAAGTGTGCAATGACTTCATAGTGGAAGGCCCTGGGCAAAGGCCTGAATCATGCACCCTCACTCTCTGTACCGTGTCACACTTTCTGATCTCAGCAGTGTACTGTTGGCCAGGCTCAGTTCTCAGCACAAGAGGGAAACAAGGGTTCAGAGAATATAGAGGCCACACCATCAGTGTGGCCTATGGAAGAACTGAGTCCACCCTTCATTCCCAAACTCCTCTGGAAAATGCTGGTAGAAAGCCACCCCACACACACACACACATATATACACTATAAGAAGCCCAGTGCCCTGGCTCTTTAATGACCTACCTCTGGAAGAATATATAGTTCACTTCCCAGCTTGACCCTGGCCATTTCTGCCCCACTTCTCTGGGGATAGGAATGACTGCCTTGAATGTTGTTGAAGAGGGTTGATAAGACAGCAAGTAATGTTCTCTGTACAGGGAAGGTTCCCTAAGGTGTGACTTGTTTTCTCCAAATCCTTCATTGTCCATATCCATGTCCTTAGGAGGGAGGAGCCCCTTGGCTACCATCAACCAAGCACAGTACTGGGACAGGGACATCATCATTAAGTCATTTCACACTCCTTGGGTCAGTATACATGAAGAGGGAAGAGATACACAAGAGAAAACCTCTGTATGGAGTAGAGAAGGCACCAAGGGGGTAGGGGTGCACAAGGGCGTGGAGTTGAAGAGGGTCCCTAGGACCCAGTCTTCCATAGAGAGTGGTGTTGAGGGGAATTCCTGAAACAGAGGGGCTGGCTATGACACAGCTTTCTGCCACAAGGTCACTCTGGCCTCCATCAGCTTCTGTCTCCCATGCAAGATGGGGTGGAGAGGCAGCAAGGCAGGAAGCAACAAGAATGCCAAGCTTCCCACCCAATGATGAATGTGCCCACTCTCTCTCCTCGTGTCATCTCCCATTTGTGTGGTTCTCATCTTTATTTCATGAATATTTTATTCTCAGAGCAGTGGCTCCACATCCACCATAAATCTAGTGGGTGCTCTTTACTGCAGCCCCGAGCTTGGTGCATTCACCTGCATTGGGTAACTACATAATTGTCTGATTCCTCAGAAAAAATATGAGCTCAGATGTGCATGAATATTAAGGGCTGAGTGCACATTACTACTCTTCCCCAAGTAGGTATCTAAACTCTGAAGACATCCAGTACAAGCCATTAAACACAGCTTGGGCTCCACCTAAAGACAGGTTTCCGGCTCTTAAGAAATACAGCTAGTGTCCCAAAATGAAACATTCTGTGAGTAACCAGACACTCACCTAATTGCAAACAATGCTCCATAAAACATGGGCAACCAGTAGCACGGAGTAGGTCTAAATTAAATACCATCATTATTTTTGCAAAGGGTTTAAAGACATGCTTCTAAAGTACTGTCATTTCATCCCCTTCCCTGGTTCCTGTTGGAGACATGATAAGGTCCCAACCCCTCAGCCTGGCAGTGTAGTCCTTCAGGCAGATCCCAAGGCCTCCTTCTCCAGCCTCTCCTATCAGCATCTCTCTCATTCTCACACTCCTTGTTAACTCTCTGCTTACCCCACCCTATTAGCAACTTCCCATCGAATCCCAGCCCTGGGATTCGTACCAATGCTCAACACTGTATTTACCACTCTGATCCCTGAAACTCTCACCACCCATTCTTCATAGCCGCACCATGCTGTAGCTGGACTTGGGGCCACCCTACACTTTGGTGGTCCTTGTTACTCACTTCCAAACAGCTTTGATCAATTGGACGGAGACATCTTGGTAAGCTCTGTATTCATCTACCCTTGAGGAGGTAAACTTCCTAAGGGGAAGGGGGGGGGTGTCCCTATAAGCAAGCTTATTAAAGGAAGAAGGGAGGATGGAGGGGAAAATTTCATTCAAAAATTAGAAACCCGTAAAACAATGGAAAAAAATGAAATGTGTCCATGCAGCCCTTCTTAGCCACACCAGAGGGGCAGGATCAATGGTGACTACTGTGCTGGACATCACTGGCAGCCAGGGCAAGAAGACCTACATGTGGGAACCTGGACCATACATCCTATTGTAACTGGGACCCTGGGCTTATGTCAAAGCCAGAAGAGAAGAGAAGATATTTTACAGCAGGAAAGGAGCTGTGTCTGACATCGCGGTCATCTCTGGTTCTCCTGGTCTTCCTACCTGTGCCTCTCCAACAACTGATCATTCTCACTTCCTCACCTGGCCCTCCCACATGCATACATGGGTGTACACACACACACACATGGGTGTACACACACAAACACACACACCAAAACAATTAATTCTGGGGGGGCAGGCTGGAACTATCATTAATTAGGGGCTATGAAGTGATTAGGACTTCCAGCCTCCCCCTGGACCTAGTGGAGGCTGTGACCCAGACCCCCAGCCTGAGACCCAGATGCTGGCAGGACAGCCATTTCCTTGACAGTGCAGTACTCAGCCACCTGAAGATCGTCCCCTGCTCCTCCAACCTGAGGGGCATTTGTACAGAGGAAATCAGGCAGGAGACTTAGGAAAAAGCCAAACCTCAAAACATCACAGGCAGGGGGTGCAGTGTGGCTTGGCTACTGTATCTCCCATCTGCACTGCCCTCCCTGTTCCTACGCAGTGGCTTGGGGACCACCCCACCCTGTTGCCCACAAATGTTTCTGTTCACCTAGGCCTCACTGGTGACAGCAGGAGAGGGTGCCCTGGCTGTGGTGTGCAGGGGCTGATGAGATGTTCCAGCTGCAGAGGGATGTGGGGTTCTTCCCTAAAACTATTCATCAGAATAATTCAAGGTCCCTCCCAACGACTTCATATAGAATTTTCCACTTGCAAATAAAAGCTCAAGATGGAGCCATTAACTATTCCTTTTAGTAAATTTTCCTTAAATTTCTTCCTTCTTTCCCTCCTGTGGTCTGGGAGTGAGCAGAGAGCCACTGAACTGGTGGCAGAACCAGGCCTCTCATTTCCTTACATGGAGGAAGTGTGTCCCCAGGACATTTCAGATGTGCTGATTCAGCAGTGGCCACCTTCCAGGGAAGAGAAAGGAGGAGGACAGAGAGCTCACTGCTTGGGATGATGGAGAAATGGTAGAGGATGGAGGGAGACAGCCATCACTGTGCTCACAGAGGACTCCTTTACAGATTGTGGAACAAGGGTGTGACAGCAATCACTGCAGACCACAGCCATGGCCCAGATGGCCTATCCTTATTGTTCAGAGGTACCAAGCTCCAGCCCTAGGTCAGGCTCAGAAGGATGTGGCCAGCTCTCTTCTCCTGCTTGTTTCCTCTCCCACCAAAGTACACTCTGGGTTTCTCCTTGAGCCCCTCCGTTGGAAGCCATGTTTATGAACTTGTCATGTCACCCAAGAACAAAAACAGGAAAGGTTCTGGTTTCTGAAAGGACTGATTTTGGATTTGATGCTCGTTGTTTTGCTATTTCCTGTTTGAGATTTATGTCTGTCCACTCCAACAAAATCAAGCAGAGCCATGATTCCAGATGTAGCAAGGTACGTGTGTCAGGGATTGACAGGCTCACGGATGGAGTGGCCAGGCTGATGTCACAGAGGGCCGGGTGGCTGCAGCTTCTGCAGCATCCTCACCAAACAACACCTCTAGTTACCCTCTTCTGGGGTGTCTCCAAGGGACCCTCATGAAGCCTTCATTAAAAAAGCAAAAGCTTGGCTTGAGGAAGAGCCAACACTCAAGGAGAAGGAAGTGTCCAGGGACAGAGTCTGAGCGTGGTGGGCACACACAGGGAGGGCAGTGTACTGGGCATCTGGACAGAACTGCCATGTCCCCTGAGGTGGTGCACCCAGATGGGAGGTGGGCAAGGTGGGCCCCACAAGGAAGGCAAGAGGGGGAAGGGTGGTGGGAGGCGCAGGGGTCCCCTGTACACTATGGCCCTAGGCGAGACATCAAAGAGAACTGGGAGGGAAGGAGCAGGCTCCTCTCTTACCCTACAGGTGGTCTCTCCAGGCCAGGGTGGAGGCACATGGGTGGGGCAGGGTAGGGAAGGGCTCTCTGGCGCTGCCCAAGCTGTACCTGCTCTATAGATAAATACAGGACTTTAGTGGCCATGGCTGGCACCTCAACACTCTGTCCAAACATAAAAACATCCCCTAAAACTATGTCTTTTCTCTTGCTTTAAAATCAAGATGAAACCATGCCCCAATAAAAAATGCTGCTGTCTCCAGACAAGGTGACTTGGGTGAGCACTAACTGGATGAAAACCACCCAGCAATGGCCCGTGCAACCCTCCAGCCTCTAAGCTGAAAAAGGGAGAGGAACCCCACATACGAACCTCTTTGGGGGTCTCCTGGTGGCACTGGTTGCTGTTCCACCACAACTCCAGGGCAGCCACCAGACAGGCGAGGAGGAGGCCAATGGCCAGGATGCAGAAGACCCCAGCAAAGCTGTGCAGTTTGAGGGACTTGCCATCAGCCTGGGTGCTAGAGTGGCTGGTGAGGTCGCAGCGGCCTGTGTGTGGCCACCACTTTTGCTTGAGCACATCCAGGTCCCCTGTGTCCTGCAGCTCCAGGATCCTGCAAGACACAACCCAGGTGAGCCAGAGCCACTGATCTCATCTATTAGCCACAGGAGTCCTGGCCACCGCCCCACCACGCTGGCCCCACCATGGACAACCTTGAATCATCCTGGTAGCTCTCTCCACTTCAGCTTCCCCTCCCAAGCCAGTCTCCACACTGTGAGTAGAGTAGACAAGTGGTCAGAATGTGGGCTTCGAATGTTCATGCTCCCCAAAATCTTTTCTTTCAAACATCAAAAATTACAGGTTGAGCATCCTTAATCTAAAATCTACCATCTGAAATGCTCCCAACTTTGAGCACCAATGTGTCCTCTGATGGCTGAACAACACTTGCTTCATGCATAAATTTAAAGTATTGTATAACATTACCTTCTGATCATGTGCCTAAAGTGTATATAAAACATAAATAAGTTTCATGTGTACACTTAAGTGCCATTCCCAAGACATCTTAAATATTCCAAAATCAGGAAAAAATCCAAAATCTAAAACTTCTGGTCCCAAGCATTTTGGATAAGAGGCACTCAACTCATCTATTCTAAGTTTGTCCCACTAGGATCCACAAAAATCTTTCATTCATTCATATGATTTAAGGAGTTTCTGCACTGTACCAGGTAAGATGTTCAGCACTGCAGAGTTTATGGTCTAGAGACACAAACACCAACCTTGAAGCCATTAGAAGAAGTGATGTAAAGACACAGGCCATAAGAAATATAGTGAAATGAAAATAGATGGCCCAGGAAATGGCAAATTTGGAGGGACTTTAGATTGGAGTACTAGGATGAGATCAGGGAGGAGGTGACAGGTAAGTGAAAATTTAAAAAACCATTGATTGTCCAACAGATTCTCTGGACCAAGGAAGATCCAAATGATGCTGAATCCTCATGCTGACCCTTTGAGATGATTACTTCTATTTTCTCATTTTTACCAAGAAGGACATTGGGGCAGAGAGATGAAATATCTTGCTGAAGCCACTTTGAGGTTGGCAGGATTGGCACTCAAGAAGGGGAGGAAGAACTTTCCTGAGGCTAGAGCTGTGTGTGTTTAAGAGTCTGACACACAACCAGAGAAGGTGTTGCGTATCCAGTGAGGAACAGGATGGTAGGAGATAAAGACAGTGAAGTAGGCAGAGCCTGGGCATGGGCTCCAAGAAGGCATGAAAGGGAGTCTGGATTTTGTGCTGTGTGCCATGGTGGAGTGGGCCAACTCCTTCTGATAACAGATTCCTCATGATGATTTCCATCTGTTGCAGTATTTTGTGGATCCTTCTGAACTCCAAGGGTCTAAACAGTGAGCCAGTGGCAGTCGGTTGCCCCTGATCCTCAAATACACAAGCGCTTCCATCTGCGGAGAAGAGCTCCTTGAACCTGGTCCATGATGATACATTCAGCGAGCACCACCTGCAGTGAGTGATTCCTTGAGGCCTCTGGTGAGCACAGAGAGTACAGGTTCTCCACGGCCAGGAGAAGCTCAGCTGGATGGCCACACAGACCCCATCCTGGACCTGCCCTGCACCCTGCTATGACCACAGGTCTGACTCTGTGCTTAATTACCACATAAAGGCTTGCAGCTGGTGGAAGGAAAGGGAGTCAGCCGAAGGAAACCTGTCAGCAGCATGGACACAGCAGAGCATAGCCTCTCACTGGCTTGAAATGGCCCAGATCAGTGCAAAGTGCAGGCCCTAGAGGCACAAGATCTCAGCTGAGAATCCTTAAACAAGGGACATTCCCCTGTTAACCTCACTGTCCTCACCTTACAGCATGGATCACTGATCCCTGCCAGATGACCAGGACAATGGCTGCAGGACAGGGGCCATACACTACTTTCCGTGTCTTCCCTAATATAAGAACAGGGGCTAGCACAGCCTTGGCTATCAGCGGATGTTTATTCTGTCAATAAATGTATAATATTGAATAATGAAAACTAATCTAAAGTGAAATGGCCATTGTGAGATCATGATGTCCTGTCCACAGTGTTCCCAGGGGACTGATGAGCATAACGGACTTAGAATGTGACTGTGCATGATGGGACTTGGTGGCTGAGATAAATGCATGATTTACATGTGCATTTGCATGGCTGGGGCCATGCTCCCAATGCCCCTGAGCACTGCAGCTCTCTCCACATTGCATGATTAACTGGGCAGCTGCAGTGTCTCACTTGCTATTTCACATGGCTCTTATGGTGTCAGGGCAGCTGCATGCCGGCATATCCACCAGCAGTAATTAAGCCCCAGCTGGCAGGGTTGAATAGTTTGAGCTTCCTGGCAGCCACAGCACCAGATACACAAGACATCAGGATCCTGGAGAAGGCTACCAGTGGAACTAGGGGCTCACCTTGGAGATGGAGGAACTTCAGGTTACGGACATAAACTCAGCTCTGATGAGCATTAGTTCAAATCCAAACTACGAACTCCTGAACCCCTCAAACTTAGCTCTCCCATCATTAAAATCTGAGATTAAATAAATGCACCTGCCTCAAAGAACACTGGCTCATGACCTGGCAAGTACTAAGAGCTCCACAAAAGGAGGGGAGCAGCCACACAGTCTGATGGCTATGTTGACCAGCAGCTCTCTTAGGCCACTGTTGTCCTGAGCTACCTCTTATTGAGAACACAGCAGGAGTAAATCATTCCACACTGCCTGAATCCTCATAACAGCCTGCAGAGCAATCCTTACGATGTCTGTTTTAACTTGTGAAGACTCCAGGCTCAGAATCTAGAAGATGTGGACAAGGTTGTAATTAGAAAACAACAGTACTATTCTTCAGACCTGGATGGTTCTGGTTACAGAGGCTTCGCTCCTTGTGGAATAGCAGATTGTTCTCTGAGGGCCAAATTCTGGCCCAGGGGATGGAGAGGCCCTGGCCAGATGGCGGGAGCAGATCCTCACCTCTCCACTCTTCAAGCAGCCCCTGTGTAACATAAGGTGGGCTGCTTAATTTTGCTGATCTCTTTCGGTTACCTATAATTGTGTGCATCTTTTATGCCCAGTCTTATTCCAGAGAGAATGTAAGGCAATTTATAGGAAGAAACAGAATTAAAGCAAAAACAAATAAAAGGAAACTGAAATACAGATGCAGCAGGAAAGACAAGTCCCAGGCACAAAGTGCCTTACAGAACAAGGCTAAACTAAAGCACACTATAATAATCCATATCCCACTTACTAGGAAGCCAGAGCGATAATAGCCACTTCCTGAAGCCAGTTGTTCTATTTTCCAGACAGATATAATTGCAGGTGTTTGCCTTTATTCAATAGTTGTGGAGCTTGCTACACAGTAGGTGCTCAATAAATGGCTATTAAGTTGCTAAACATTTATTGAATGCCCACTCTGCATGCTGTGGTCTGCAAACCTGTTATTGCACATAAGCCTCACCACTCACACAGACATCTACATCCTATCCTCTGCCAAAGCTAGGAAATAGATTAGCTCCTAGGATGAAGGGAAAGATGGGTTCAGATACTGACCAGATAAGGCTGAGGTCTGCTACATATGCATAGACCCTCTTTCTGCAAATGGTTTGATGCACTGTCTCTGGACCAGCCTTGTCACCCTTCTAAGCCGCACCCAAGGCAGCATGCACTTCTGCACACAGGATACAACAAAGCGTCAGCAGGTTGGCAACCTGAGGGCTGAGTGTTCCTCCAACAGCAGACACCCATCTGCCAGGAGAGGGGTGCTGCTAGCCCAGGAAGTGCTCCACCATGGAGACAGGCTATTATTGACCATGAAGACAATTATTTAGAGTCACCAAGCATATGGCCTTCTGATAGAAGCAAAGAAGGATACATTACTTCCTGTGAGAATGACATGAAAATTAGACTGGCCACTTTTGCTGGTGGTGACCACTAGGATGGGAGGGAGGGCCCATAGTGACCTCATACTGACAGATGGACAGGTTCTTTGCACAACTGTCCTAGGGCCAGCCTGCCTCCTGGGATTGCACACCTCCAAGCTAGCCTTGGTCCACTGTCCCTGGGTCCACATGAGTGACATCAAATTCCTCATGCACCTGACAAACCTGGTATTAGAGGAGAGGGACCATACTCTTTTGTACTCATCTCCTCCTTCTCCAGTGTGAGGACTTTTGTGTCTTCCTCTGACCTCACTTGGGCTCCCACTGCCCTGACTCCATTTACCAACCCAGTGGAGTCTCAAAGTTTCCTGGTCAATGTCTGCTCTCCCCTCTCTTTGAACATCCAGTTCTACAGACTTACAGGAGGTAACTGGGTAGTTCAAGCTCAAGGGACTCTAACTGTCCCTTCTTGGGCCCTGTGCTGCAGAAGCACTGTATTGGGGCACATTCACGGTTTTGGTGTTGCTGCAGTGTGGGCCTCACGGGCTCCACTGAGATGCTTGCAGGTCAATGGTCTGTGCAATCACCCCGAGCTGCCCATGCAGGAAAGTCGACTAGTACAAAGCTCAAGAATGCCAGTGTGCTCTAAAGCCTAAAGAGAAACCGTCTTTTCTTCATGCCTTGAATCTGAGCAATTGATAAATCATTCCTCCTCCTTCTCTCTTGTCATTGCTCTCTGCTCCAGGGAACAGAGAAGCAGAGTGTATACTTGATGAAATTCTAGAGAAAACCCCAAAGCCTCATTTACCTTAATTAGTCCTACCCCTGGTGCCAGCTTTGCACACACTGCACTTACAGGACTGGCACTAGGCCTGCCTACCACTTGGGCACTTCTGCCACTGCTTTCATTTGGGGGACCAAGCCAGAGCCACTCTTGGGGCTTCTCCGCTGGACTCTGCAATTCCACCTTCACCCAGCAGGAGGGTGTTGGTCCAAGGCTGAGCGATCTTTGGGGACAGGAGCTCCTGTTGGCAGACTGGCTGCTGGGCAAAGGCTACTGAGCTTACCTTCAGTTCAGTGTGGCTAATGCCAGGTCACAAGGGGAACTGCTATGGCAGAAAAAGAGGTGGAATGTTGAGGGATTAATTTTCTCAAGAAAGCTAGCCAGATGCCTGGGCTGGGAAGTTAGAAACTCGATCATGCCCTGAGCGGCTTCAATCCCATGGGAAGCTGGATGGGCAAATGCAAACTAGACACAATGTGCTGATTTCTGGTAGAGGGTGTCTGTGGACTTTGCTGAGGCTAGAGCCCTCCTGTCTGTAGCCTTCCTCTCCTTTTTCTCCCCAGTGCCCATTCTTTTTGCTAATATTAACTGCCAGATATCTATATCAGTTCTCAGGAGATGGCTTAGAAACCTGGATTCTGGTCTGGGGAGGACAAGGAGGGGGCATGAGTGGCCCTCCTCTCCAAAATGGAGGACCAGGCCCATTCCTCATCCAGCAGACAGCATCTCCTTGCACCAGGAAACTCCTGCGCTACCATTTGCAAGCCCTCGGGACATGTGCAGGAGATGTTCTGCCACCCAGGATCCACATTTCTAAGCTTCCACATGACAATTACAACTTTGCAGATATAGTATATCTCCCTTTAAAATTGAGTATTAGGCCCTTGCCAGGTCCTATTCTTTATCCATTTAACTGGCTAACTTCTACTCCTTCAAGGTTCTGGTGGTACTAACTCTGGGAAGTCCTCCTGGGTCTCCTAGGTCTTTTCAGATGTACTATTCTGTCTGCCACCCCACCCCAGCACCCTGACAGTGACCCTGTCATCATGCTTATGCCTTGGGCTGGCATCACCAACTCACTCACGGCCCCACCAGCACTAGGCACCCTTTTAGGAAGGGACCACATACCTCCTCTTTTTATCCAGCACCTACACAGGATCTAGCTGAGGGAGGGAGGGGCACTGGATACAGTCCATGCTCTGAGGAGAAGGTCTGCTTCTGCCCCCACTACAGGACTTGGAGGCTGCTGGAGTTACCCCACTGGTCTTGCCTACCTCTGAGAGAAGAGGTCCCTGTAGGGGCTGCCATGTTGCAGGGCAATCCCGTAGCCCTTGCTGCTGATGCTGTTGCCAGTGACAGTCACTGAACAGTCGTCGTCTGTCAGGGCTGCATACTCCACCACGGCCACATCCCACAGAAAGGCGTAGTTCCCCTTCTTTGCCTGAAAGACCAAAATCACCATGATATCCAGCAGGTCTGACTTGCTGTATCAGCTTCAAGCAGCAGACACCTCTGTGTCGAGCTTTGAGGTAACCATCCTAAATGGTCCCTCTGCCCACCAGACAGCCCAGCAAACTCGCCTACCATGTTCTGGCCTTCGAGTGCCACTGCTGGTTGATGCCATTCATTCTGGTTATATGTGAAAGATGTAGCTCCAGCCCAGCTCAAGGAGAGGGGTAGGAAGGAGAAGCTGTAGGAGGGTCATGATGGATGGGTCTGTTTCTCACTTACCCCTGAAGAGTGCAGAGTCCAACCCTGGAGGACTGAGCTGTATGAGTCAGATGTGCAAGGGGAGTATAAGAGATGCAGGGCAAGAGGGAGAGGCTACTCCCTGGACACCGTCCCTGGGGAAGAGGGTGATGATCAGTCTGTCCACTTAGTATTTGCTTAGAACCTGACTGGATATTCCTTAGGACACACCTTGGTGATGGCCTTGGGTTCAGTGCCCCCGGGCAGCCGTGACTTAATGTCCAACACAAGCACATGTCTGGAGCTTGTTCTACAGGGAACAACCCCTTAGGAACAGAATCCTGACTGTTACGGTGCCAGTCAGGCTTCTGCCCCTCGCCTTCCTCTAGCCTTACATGAGGGAGAGCCTGCATGCACAAACACACACACGTGCACATGCACATATGCATACACACAATGCACACACACACACGTCTATGTTTATACAGGAGACAGTTTCTGGTGTCAGTATATGTCATAAAGTGCAAGGGGTTCGCATTATTCCTTCTCATAATAGCTAAGTCCCGGAAGCAGCTTATATGTCCATCAGCAGACAAATGGATGCAGAAAATGTGGTATCTACACACAATGGAGCACTACTGTGCTATGCAGAAGGATATACTTGAGTCATTTGTAGGAAAATGGATACACCTTGAGAGCATAAAGTTAAGCGAAATAAGTCAGACACACAATCTTAAATATCACATGGCTTCTGTTATATGAGAAACCCAAATTATAAATAAAGAGCAAAATAGAAGACAGCTACTAAGAAGGAGAAAGATAGATCTTTTGAAAATGGGAAGGAAGGGCCAGGGATTTAGCTCAGTGGTTTCGCCGCCTGCCGCGCCAGCTCAAGGACCCGAGTTTGATCCCTGGTACCCAAAAAAAAGAGAAAATGGGAAGAGAACCAAGAGGTGGGGGGAGGGGAAGCAAACCAAAAAAGATTAAGATGTGTTACAGATGTAACAACTCCTCACAAGAAATGTAAATATTATGTAGTGCAAATATGTGGTAAGAAAAATAGAATTGAAAAAAAAAAGATGATCCCATCAGAAGTCTATGTGCAGGAGTCTACAGCTGAAGTTCTGCTCCATCACACGCTCTACAGTGACGTTCACTTCTATCTTGGACCACGATTCTAACTTTGACTCGGATTCAGGCACTCTGAGGGGATGGGAGCTGTTCTACCTTTTGGAAGGAAATGCAAACTAGACATTACCCCTTGGTCTTCTTAACAGAGTGTGTAATGTTCTCGAAGCTGCAAAGTGCCTGGTTTCATTCTATAGTGAGCACACAGATGTCTCTTTCCCCTCTTGTTCCCTCCTACCAAGACTTACACCAGATGCTGGAAGATCTCAGTGTGGCCGTGGCCACTGGGCTGAAATATCACACACAAAAGTAGGCCGAGCTGCTGAGCTTCAGGACCTTGGGCACTGCGGGCGAGGGCACTGTTCCTGTCTCTACCTTCCTCCCATTGAGTCTTCATGTGCACTGAGAGTTTCCAGAGAGTGCCACAGCTGCTCAGATGAAAACCAAGATTTTCCCTCTCTCAAGACCCTAAGTGCCCGTAGCCCAAGATGAGTCGTTTTCCTGTCAGGATCTCTCCATCATAAGGACTTATGGGCAGAATGTGACCTCCTACTGCAGGTCCAGGCTGCTCCTAGACTTTCACACTAATTTGCCCAACCTCCTTTTCAGAAATGACACACACCAGTGCCACCTATTGGCTTCCATGTAGGGAAGCAATTCAAATATTACACCAAAGCCTCACTCCTCAACCAATCCAATTTCAGAAATCCTGCAGGACTTTGACCTGGGTTGCAAAATTACACACATCTCTTTCCCTCCATGTAAGACGATAACAGTCTTTGAGATATTTTTCCTACTGGCAAACAAGTTTCCTTGTGAAAAGACATAAATTTTTCAACCTCTTAGTAACCAAGTTTCTCAACAAAATGTTGACTTATGACCTAATATTTGGCTTTAGTCAGACTTCGGAACATTTCACATCCATGCTTGCAATTCAACATGACAATCAGACACTGTTATTTGTACGATTTCAAAAGGGCATGTCATGTTGAGGCAAGAATTAAGATCAGCTTCGTTCCTACCTTGCAAGTGATATTCCAAGAGCGAGAAAGAAATAAGTTGGCTCAGATCAAGTGGAGCCTGACTCTTAAGGAAGCAACCTCAGTTGCTCTCACAAGGCACCTGGACTCCTTCACACGATGTTGCAACTGTGGTTGCAGTTTAGCCTTGGGAATGGGCGGGCACAGATGCCAGGAGGAAGCTGCTTTTAGAGTCCTGCTGGGCTAAGCTGAGAAGGAGGAGAAGTGGAAAAAGGATGCCTGCAATATGTCAGCCTCAAATCCCTGCTCACCAGGAAGGCAGTCGAGAAGAGAGGGGAAGTAGAAATCTTCCTTGACCTGCTGGGTGGCCCAAGACCCTCAACTTGCCATTTGAAAACAGGGACTAAATTTGCCATTCTGTCTCATGTCTGCTTCAGTAAGCACGTCGTGGCTGGATCCCTAATCTACTAGACACCCCCAGAGCAGGACTTGGACAAGAAGATGTGTATGTTAGAAGATGGGAACTAAATCAGAACTCCAACTGCGGTGGACAGGCCAGATTTGGGCTCTATCTTTATGAAATACTCCTCATTCTCAACATTCTGCTTTACTTCCTTGGTATTCCAGAGCTTTCTAGCCCTCTTCTTTCAACCCTACACTAAGTAGAATGCAGCACTAAAACCTCCTCCTGGGGTCCCAATCCATCAGTTTCCAGGAGAATTTTCTGGACCTTGGGGATGTCTCCCCAATTTTTCTGGTGTGTCGCAGAGCCCCAGTGAGACATATGCCTTCTTAGGTCTGACCACACTGTCAGGAACATTTCAGATGCAACTTATAGAAGTCAAAACATCTCCACCCATCATAGTTTTGTCACTGCCTAGAAGACCCCCCTGTTATCCACTTTGCAGAATTAGCTCCATCCCACTCCATCCCATAAAAAAAATTCTAGGATGCATTTCTTCCTTGAAGGTTCAGAATCAGTTTTTCATATGGTCCCTAATAATTATGGATCCACTTCCTTACCTGGGCTGCTTGTCCAGAGCTTGGCTTGCCCACATAGGGCACACCTAATACATCAATCCTCCACCTCCAGGATTAACAAGAGTCTCCTTTCTGTCCAGTGCCTCCTGTCGCAAGCTCACCCCTTGATTCCCTGAGTCTCAGCACCCCATTCATTCTGTTCTTAGGCTCAGTCCCCTTCTCGGGGGGCTCAGCCTCTTATCTAGTCTCTAACTTCATTGAGAAAGCATGGCTGTCCCTCCCCACTGTCCTCTATCCCTCAGCTCCATTTCAGAGACTTCTCACGCTAGGAGATATTGTCACTTCTTTCTATCAACAACTCCTTTCTGGGGAGGATGTGTTTCAGGCTCTTGGGAAGACAGGGTATGGGCAGGATTCTATGCTCCTCTTGACTGTGCAGCACAGGCCAGTGCTCAGAGAGAAGGGTGGGCATAGCCACATATCCGCATGTGTCCCAAGCCCCTCCACCAAGCATCACAAGAAATTTGTAGATTCACTATTTTGCCACTTCTTGCTCATGGTAGTTGCTTCTTCCCCATGTCTCCCAGAGTTGTCTTATCCCTGCTGGTGGTGGCAAGTTAGTGAGGATGTCTGAGAGATACACTATGAGCAGTTTACAAATAGATTGGTGATATTTATTTCACAGTGCCAGAAGATCAAAGCAATGGTGCATATTTGCATTCTACTATCAAAACAAAACAAAACTAAACTAAACACTGCATTTCACCTTGTCAGTAGGCTGATTAACCTTTATCTGGCCTGTCCATCTATAATATTAAATGTGCTCTGAATTTCCAGTCATGGACTCATTTTATGTCATGTGGCCACTGAAATGTTGAGGATACTATAGGGCAAGCAATCAGAGTATTCTCCCATTGGAGAATGCTGGTGGCATTCACATCAGTCACAAATGCTGCTGGGCATGGAGCATCTGCTGGGTCCAGAAATCTGAGGTGCTATCCTCCATGGAATGATTCTCAAGAACAGAGCATTCATCCCCTTTTACAGATGGAGAAGCTAAGGTTTAGAAAAACAAAATGATTCATCCAAGCTTCTGCTCAGATAGTGGGTAGCATAGCCAAGTCAACCTAAGTTCCACCCAGCTCCAAAGAAGCCCATGCTTTCCCCTCTGCCTATCAGACTCCCATCAGACTCAAGTACAGAGGGCTGGAGAAAAGGCTCCTGGTGAAATGAATATTAATGCTTGTTTCTCCCTAGCTTTCCAAACAAAGATTGTTCATGGGATTGCTGACCCTGGGAGAAGGGAGGACATGGGTCTGCACATCTAAGGATGCTTTGGCAACCAGACACACCCTCATGTGCATTAACCACCCAGGTGGCACACATTCTGCCTCCCCTGGCATCCACCCTTCATCCCAACAAAGCAGTACCTGGCCATTCAAGAACCCCAAGTCCTAGCTCTGATAGTCATGTTCCTACAATGGCAACACATTGCCAGACACAGCCTGACCCTGGCTATGATGATACCTGTATTATACGCTGTGCCAAATCACAAGATGCAATAGTACAAACCCAGACCATCTATGGAGAAAAGGACAATTTTACATCCTGCTTATAGAAGCATGGGCTGGCATGATATTTCTGGAGTGGCAATTTGGTGGGG